TGTATGTATTGCTTTTTGCATGTTATTTTGATCATGCTGTTTAAACTAAAAGTGTGATATATATCACATCTTGTACTGAAAGGTAACATGCTGTTACAGGTAGTCCTTGACTTATGACCATTCATTTAGCAACCATTTGAAGTTACAACGGCACTGAAAAAAGTGACTTATGACCAGTCCTCGCACTTATGACCATCACAGCATCCCCACAGTCATATGATCAAAATTTGGGTGCTTGGCAACTGTCATTACGATGGTTGCAGCATCCATGTGATCGCCACTGGGACCTTCCCAGCTGGTTTCCAACAAGCAAAATCTATGGGGAACTGCATGCTTCACATAACGATGAATTTTCCAGTCCCTATTGTGGTCGTAAGTCAAAGACTACTTGTACTGCTGTGATATACAGGGCGTATCAAAAGTCAGGCCCCTTAGGCCAATTGAAATATGTTTTATTGGTTTTTTTCAGAGAAATTGTTACTGTACTTAGGAATGTTCAAAGGTCGCGGATCAAATGAGTAAGGAACTGTTTAGAAGAAAATCGCAACCATTTTGAACATTTAATTTATATAATAAATTTTCTAAGGGGCCTGACTTTTGGTATACCCTGTATATTTATTGCTGAGATATATATTTATTGCACCAAATAATCATTGTACAAATTGCATACGTTAATATAAAATCAGAATGGATGCTGTATTTCTCCCAGTACAGGTAGTCCTCAACTTATGACAATAGGGACAGGCAAATTCATTGTTAAGCAGTGCAGTTAAGCGAGGCATCACGTGATCATACCTGATTTTACAACATTTTTTGCAGTAGCTGTTAAGCAAATCACCATGGTTATTAAGCGAATCACCAGAGTCATTAAGTGAATCACATGGTTGTTAAGTGAATCACACAGATCCCCATTGAGTTTGCTTGTCAGAAGCTGGCTGGGAAGGTCACAAATGGCGATCACATGACCCTGGGATGCTGCAATCATCGTAAATACATGCCAGTTGCCAAGCGCCCAAATTTTGATCACATGACTGCAAGGATTCTATGACAGTCATAAGTGTGAGGACCGGTTGTTAGTCACTTTTTTCAGCGTTGTTGTAACTTCAGATGAGTAGCTAAACGAATGGTCGAGGACTACCTGTACAATAAAATTGCTTGCTGACATATGTAATAAAATCTAAATTAAAACATAAAGACTTCTTCCAGTTGAGCTCAAACCTTGTATGACTGCAGGGACACATCCATCTAACTTTCTTTAAAAATCTAAGAGTGAACCTAAAATAGACCAGTGAAGGTTATACTTGGAGCTCTGACTGACTGACTCTTGGGAAGATGGAATGGAATGGAAATGCTTTATTGAAGAATTAATCTGCAGAAATTTGTTTTGCGTAAATTTCCTTTTGCTGCGTGTCTACTGATAAGAAAAGTCATTTATTTGAAATCATCTGCTACAATTTTATTTCAGATCTATAGATTGTTTTCATACTGGCTCTCACCCAATTGCAAATTGTAATGAAGCCACAGTTATATTTGAAATTACTCAAAAGGCCATTTTTTACATTTTTATTAACTCAAGAGGGCAGCATTAATGTGCTACCTGCAGAGCAGTATTTTTTCCATTATAAAATAAAACCTGCTTTCTTTTTAACACATTTCTCTCTCTTGTTTTTGCCATTGCATCTCATAACACACCCTGTATTTCTCCATAACATGTAACCTAAACTGCATTCTGTTTGTTTTTTCCTTTTGTCACTTTCTATACCCCATAGCGTCCTTCTCTTGTCTGTTTCCGTGGCCTGCATTCTGGTCTCTCTGTTACTGTTTCCAAAGGTCTTTATGCAGTGCCATCTGTTTCCCATGCTGTGTTTTCCTTTTTCCTCCTCTTTGCTCATTTCATTCATTCTTTTTTAATTTGTTTTTAGTTTGTTGTTTCCATAGTGCACTTGCACCCCAAAGTCATTGAGTTATATAATACAAGAAAAGCTGTTCACATGGTGGGGGAATTTTAAGTTTCAACTGGACAAGAAAATAATTTTCCTTCTTCCCTTTTTAATGTGATTTTGATGAACTTTAGGCCGTTTTCATGTGAAACCAATTCTCTAATTGCAGTATTTATTATATTGCTAACATAATACCAGAAGTTTCTGCCTACGTCTAGAATGTAGAACCTTTAATCCTTCAAATATTACTGAACTCTAACTCCCAGTATCATTAACCATTTCAGATTTACTGATGCAAAATTCATGGTGCATAATTTTGGATACATTTTTCACATATCACACAACTTCACAGGGTTTGGAAGAAGGGATAAGAATCTCACCGACATTGCACAAACATAAATAACAGAGCAAGTATCACACATTAAGTATAATGCTAAAAAAACACACCATAAATGTGTTTTATCAAAATGCCTTTTGATAAAATGTTTATTCCTCTTTCTCTCCATTTAGAGTTGATAGATATCACCTGTACTTTACTGTTGCTGAACCCAGATTTCACCACTGCATGGAATGTAAGGTAAGGTTAGCCAATACAGATAGCCTAATATTTTAGGCTATGATTTCATGGACTCCTTTCTTCTCTTAAGTTCACACAAGGCTACTTACCCATATATATTATATATTGCTAACCGTATATATTATATATTAGAGTATCTTATTTCATATAAAATGAATTTTAAATAAAGTGGTGTACCCGTTCAACTGGGTGTAATAAAATGTGCATTCATATATGGCTAGTTGTGCAGTATTATATTTTATTTAGCAAACATTTTTAAAGTGCCTTTTGAACATAAAACTCTCAAAGCAATATGCAAAACAAATTGTCAGCCCTGCTAGATAGACCAGACCAGGAAATCAACTCCACACAAAGGTTAAAACTACTTTTATTGAGATTGGCTATAATAACAGAATCTTGCAAGTCTGATTGTGCTGTACCTTCTCTTCCTCCTTATACTTCAGTGAATATGAAAGGCGTCTGGCTGAGCCACTTCCAAATGTTCCTCATTGTTCTCATACATATACAAATATATTACTTTTATTGAGATTGGCTATAATAACAGAATCTTGCAAGTCTGATTGTGCTGTACCTTCTCTTCCTCCTTATACTTCAGTGAATATGAAAGGCGTCTGGCTGAGCCACTTCCAAATGTTCCTCATTGTTCTCATACATATACAAATATATGGATGCTTATCCTTTTTAGAAATTGTTATGTAAAACTGATGTTACTCAACTGTACATTGACATCCCAGATCAAACTAGATATGATTTGGAAGTGGTAGTCCTGGGACTAAAAGTCTGGATGAGTAGAAACAAGCTCAGGCCTAATCCTAGCAAGTTGGAGTTACTGTTGGTTAAACATTTTCTTGGTTCTGAGATGGTGCTAGCATTGGGATTGCTATCCCTCTGCAAGAGCAGGTCTATAACTTGGGGGTTCTCTTGGACTCATGCCTCCTACAATAGCAGGTTGAAGCTGTGACTTGGAAGCCTTGGTCCAGCTGAGGCTGGTGTGCCAGTTGTTGCCCTTTTTGGACCAGGGTGTCTTGAGGTCAGTGATTTTTGTCCTTATGACCACAAGCTTAAATTATCATTAACATGCTGTACATGGGGCTTCTTTTTGAAAATGAGTTTGGAAGCTACTGATAGTACAAAATGCAGCAGCCAAGTTGCTATTTGGTGAGAACCACTATAGTAATATGCCTATTTTCAGATAACTACATTTATTGTCAATAGCTTTCCAAGGTGATAGGTAGGTAGATGGATGGATGGACGGACGGACACATATAATCTTAAAAAGAAAATGTAAAAAAATTAAAAGTACAAACTAAAAATACAAAATAAGAAGGAAAAAAAGAAAAAAATCTTATATTTGATACTTAGTCACCGGTTTGCCAATGAATTCACTACTATAATATGAACAATACAAGATATTATTGTAAGACGTCATAGAATCTCTGCCATAGTAACACGTATTGCTGCATCCTTTGATTAGTAAAAAATGTTGCCTTTTCCAGAACAGATAGATCACACATTTCCAATAACCATTCCTTGACATCTGGAATAATGTCACTTTTCCATTTTCTTAATATAATTCTTTTAGCCACTCCCCATGTTTGATACAATTGTAATTCCTGAATCAAATTCCAAAGCTTTGGTATATAATTCAACATTACATTAACATCCTTAACATTTAAAGATTATGGGTCAGTGATCCCTCAAATTTTTTACATCTCCAGCATAAAAAATCTGATATCTGTCCTTTCAAATACATTCTTTGGGGAGTCCAATACACCCTAATTTTCTTTTTTTTATGAATCAACCTTAATATCAAATTTGTAGATACCATTTTAACGTTTTTAAGGACCTGAAGCCATTGATGGGGCTTTACTGGAAATCCCAGTTCTTTAGTCCATGTTTGAAGTATCCCAGAAATGTCCACTTTAAAAATATTCTTGAGCTTTTGATAGAGATATGTTAAAGATAAGGAGGGGATTTTCAGTAACCTGCCCGTATGAAAAGTGAACTTGGACATGAAAGCAGAACACATTAGGAACCTATTGCCCCCAGAGGTGCACCTGGTACCCTGCCTATTCTCTTTCTACATGACAATACTATTTTGTGGTCAAGATATCTCCCCTGCCAGAAAAACCATCAGGACTGCTATTTTGCTTGGCGATTTAAAAATACTTGTGAATCAATATATAAATAAATGAATGAAAAGATTGAATCTGAGTCCTGCAATGCTGACTTTTGCTAAGATACTTGTAATCAAATAACTAAATAATGGATTAAATAAATGCTTTCTCAGTGAGTCTTCAGGTTTTGATCTGTAATCTCTACTTTAAATTCTGATTGTCACTGTGAAGACAGATTCTGCATTTTCCTTTCACCTTCTGAGAGGTTATTAAGATTCATTTCTTGCTGTATTATATTTTATTTTCAGATGCAAATTATAACTAATGCAAGAGTAAAATAGTGTTTTAAGGGGTAATCATTTTTACTGAGAAATGGAGGAAATCAATGAAGACTTCCATATTATAAATCATATCTCAGTTTCATTTTCTACAGAAGTAGACTGATAGAATATATTGTACAAATGTCATTTTTTACATCTTTGTTTAATTTTAGTTTTGTAATTTTGAATGTCAGTTTTTAAATAATTTGCAAATAGTGATTAATATTATTTGTATAAGGAATAAATTATTTAACAGGAACTCTTCAACTAGCAGAAGAATTGCACAAAGGCACATCAGAAATCTTCTCTAAGTTGGGAAAGCATTTAGGAGGTTATATGACAACACTGCCAATTGTTAGTGTACATGAATCCTCTTGCTGTGTATACCTACTGCATGTAGATATTAAATAGCTGCGACTTGCCTGTTTTTTGTGGACCTGTGGCCAGATACATTCATTTCCTCATATTTATACATGGAATAGTATAGAAAATAATGATGTCTGAAGCAGCTCTAATTGGGAAAGCAGTGATTAGTTGAAAGAACAAGAGAACATTAAGAGTTCAATGAAAAAGATTTCCATTAATTTAATTTATTCTATTAGCTTATATCTAGAGTTGACATTGCCTTGCTATACAGTAGGTACCACCATACCTGCAGGCACCTCCCTTGGTGTCTCCACCTCCTCTTGTTTTGTAACTTGATTGATTTTTTTTAATTCATTCTAATGCTGCACAATTAAATGTCATCTGGGTACAAGAGGATTGTAAGAAAAGATTGTGCATGCTGTGTGTGTATTGCCTTTGAGAGGATTCTGTTACCTGCTTGGATATAACACGGTGTTTGATCTGATTTTTGGGGCCTAGTAAAAGTAAGGAATCCCTTTTGCACCCTTGTGGTAGATGACAGGGTTTCATATTGCAACAGCAAATGATAGGGTTTCCACATTTGAGGCCACTTATGCTACTTGACGAAGGAGGATGCAGATAACCTTTGCACCATGTTGTCCTGAACAACGAAAATGTTGCGTATAGGACAAAGTAAGAAGCATTGCTCCCTTCCCCATCCTTCGCTGGGTGTTTTACCCAGCATGTACCTCCCTCTGGAAGTAAATCACATTCCAGAAGAACTGGGGGGAGATAGCCCATTCTTCTTCTGATTAGGGTACTTATAGGGAAGCTCTCAATGAATTTGCTACCTTTCCTTATCAAAGAGGAAGGATGACATAAAGATAAAGTGCTGGGGTGCAGCTCGCAGTGCTGAGGAGGGGGCATGGCCACGGGCAGAAAAGTCCCCGTTGCTGGTATAAGGCATTTTACCTGATTTGTATTTGTGCTTGCAGTGATGGGAGATATATTATCTAGACTTTAGAGGAATGGTTGGTGCAATGAGTGTTTATTACTTGTTTGTCTTTGAGCCTCATCAGTTTACCAACTGAAACTACAACAACAAACATAATAATTTATTAATCAGTATTGGAGCAGAAAACTGAGGTTCAAAAGAACCCCACTTAGACCCCACTTCCGTTCTACTGCAGGTTTACTTCTGAGAAATAAATGTTTTATGACCAAACACACTCATCATAATAGTTACTTTGTCAGTTAGCAAGTTATCTACATTCTACCACAAAACAACCACAATACAATTTCAAAATTCTAAATGTCTTCACCAGATCAAAAAATACTTGAATACATGCTTCCCAATAGAAGGCTCACAGTCCTTAATGCTTTTTTGTGGAAAGAATTGAATAACCAAAGAGGATTATAAATGGAAGATATGTTCATCTTTAACCCCTATAGATAATGGAAACATAATTGCAAGATATTTGTACATTTGGAAGCCCTGGTGCTTTTTCTCAAAATTAAGATATATGTACTGAAAGACTAGGTTTGATGCAATTTGCTTACAAAAGCTGGGGAGAACTTGTCAGTTTTATTTTGCTACAAGAAAAGGAGATCAGGATTACATTTATCATTGTACATCTCCAGTAGTCTTTTGTATTTCTTTTGGGAACAAGTGTCCTTGCCAAACACTTGTTTTCTTAAAGAACAAAAACAAAAAGATCACTATCTGCACAGCATAACCTATGTTATGATAGATTTTAGTGGACAACTGTGGGTCACTGCCTGGATGTATGGTTGATTAGCCTCACCACAAGTAACTGTGAATCATATCACAAGGGCCTGCACATCCCTTCAACTGATCCAGGATCTGAGAAGAGTTGGAGCTGTGCCTAATTTGATGGGGGGGGGGGGGGGTTGGAAGGAGGGAAGGAGGGAGGGAGAGTTGAAATAGCCCTGTGGATTATTTAAATGATCTCAACAACTGAAAAATGGGTGAAGGAAAGCAGAAGATGGAATATAAAGAAACAGTTGGCTGGACAAAGTATTATGAAAAGGAAAATTCAGGAAGCCAAAGATGAAAGTGAAATAAAGGGGTCAAAGAAAATGGAAGAGTAAGGAAGGGGAGGGGAGGTTAAGGGTAAGAGGCATAGGTAGGCACTTATTTGCCCAATAAAGAGGTTCTAAAACAGAAATGCTGAATTCAGTGTGGATTCATTCAATGAGGCATGTCAGACTTCTCTATCCTAAAAAAATGAATTTCATTAGTGGTAGAAAAAGCCTGGTCGGTGACCAATAGCATTTATCTGAAATGGGAGCCAAATTAACCAAAGAAACACACGAAGGAGATGGCTTTCTTCTTGTGAGTTCCCCCTTCCTACTTGCATTCTTAACAGTTAGTCGTTGTCAAATGTCTTCATTGTAGACCCTGAATAAAATATTGTATCAAGTACACATTTTGGCTCTGGGTTTAAGAGTGAAAAAGATTTTGATGTACCTTTCCTGTAGAGGGAGCTCTTTGTCCAGCACAGATATCCATTTCATCGCTAGCAGTTGTTAATTGATGGTTTATTTTTATTGTATTGTTGTGAAGCACTTCTTGCATATTAATTGCAATTTTCATTTCGAAATCTGCCAAGTTTATTAATTTATAAATACATAACTTATTATTTAGAAATACATAACTTTTAACAAAGCATGTAAAAAGATGTTTTGATTGTATGGGCAGGAAAGCCTAATCGGCATGAAAATGTATGGATCAATATTAGCAGCAATTCTTGCTGTGAAGACAGTGCAGTCGTCTTGCAATGTAATTGAATTCTGTGCTTTGGCTACATCTGGCGTAGTTCAAAGCAATAATGCTTAGTGTCAGGACTACCTAAATGGCATCTCAAACGCATGAAGTCATGCATTCTGTTCAAGTTTCATACACACACAAAGCAGACTTAATGGAGTACAGTGTCAAAAGAAGCAGATAGGGAGGGAAGTATGAAATGAGCCAGGTCAATCCAATAAGGTTTTTCAGCTAGGATTTCTGTGAATGGGAAATCAGAAATGTAGACAGGTTTAACAACTTTATTAAAGACAGGTTTCATCCTGAATACCATCAGCCCGAGCACAGCTGGCCCCGATGAAGCCTCTCTTCAGGTTATTCATGGGTAGCCCTTCCTGTTCCAGCTGTCTCTTGGCATAACAGAGCACTTCTATGCCTCTTTCTCTTTGGATACTCTCTCTTTAGATCCCCACATTCTTGAGGGCTGGGTAGAGGGGACTTCTGTTCTGGGTCAGCATCTGCTGAGTCCAGGGTTGGAACAGTGACCCTGGCTGCTGGCTTGGCTTCTGCTTCTGGAGATGCATCTTCCTCATCTGATAAAGACTCTTGAGGCCAGCTCTCTTAGTTTTGCGGCTCTAATATTATAAATCGGATGCTTTTTATTAATGTTTAAATATGTATGCAGTGGGTACCATGTATCGTTAATTTTATTAGGAAGCAAGTGCTCTGCAGATTATCTTTAGTAGCTATGTCTTGATTTTTGTTTCAGGAAAGAATTGATATTGTCTGGCACTTTAAACCCAATTAAAGACTTACATCTTGGAAAATTGGCACTAACCAAGTTTCCAAAAAGTCCAGAAACATGGATTCATAGGTTTGTGGTTTTACTTCTTATACTGAAATACACATTTGTGTTATCTCTGTGAGATCGGAGGCAGATGTCACCTGAAAACAAAGGGAAGAATCAGGCAGGTCTTTGCTGTAGGGTATTTGTGTGTGTGCATGTATGTGAGTGTGTACGTGAGTGTGTACGCATACACATACTTCCAGTATGTATGTATCTCTGAGTTGTCTGCAACTACCCAGTAAACTAATCTTGTAATCATAGCTCTTATCAAAAACAAATTCTGAATTTTGAAGTAGGAAAAAAGAAGAAAATTAAAGACAGGAAATTATTAAGGAAGTAGTTAGCAAGATCATAAAATGTCATAATACTGTTAAGTTAATCCAAGGAATGGCCACACTTAGATTACATTATATGATTCTCATCTCCAATCTCAAAAAATATACCCTGGATATTGAAATGGTACAGAAAAGGGTTAACAAGTTTGGTGATTTTTTTATTTAGCTAAAGAAAGAACATAATAAGTTCACGTCAGTTTGTTTAATAGTGTGGAAAAAAAATGGATGGACAATATACCTTAGGTCAGAGATTTAGATTCTGGTTTATTTCCATTATATACAAGAACTGTTAACCTGTAAACAGCTCCTGTGAAATAAATCAGGAAGCCATAGTTACCCATCATAGCTCAACCAAGAACAAGCCAGCATTTGGTATTTAGTTTTAAATAAATATTTGCTTTGCTACTCATATGAAGTAAGTTTGAAACAAAGGAGTTATACTTCTGTACATGGCTTGTTCAGTCATGACATCCTAAGCTAGGGACTGAGTATGTGCATGGCCAGCATTCAAGACCTATTCCAGTGTAGTTTTTTTAAAGGATTTGTTGTCATAAAATAGGAGCTATTGATTGAAACAATTACCAGAAGCATTTCACTATCTTAAGTAGTATTTTAGAGTATAAGTGAACTTCTCTTCAAATATCCTTATATGCTGCTTTGAGAACTAATTTAATGATATAATGAATAAAAATGTTTTCATTTTCTTAAATTGGATTTTGCACTTTTAATTCTCTGTACTACATAACCAGACGATGGGTACTGCAACATGTAATCCAGGAAAACTCCTTGCCCACTCTTGTGACTAAAGGGAACTTAGAAGCATTACCCACAGAAAAAACACAGCAGCTGGTGAAAGAAGAAATGGATGTTTGCTGTGATGCTGCTGGACGATATCCAAGTAATTATAATGCCTGGTCCCATCGTATCTGGGTGTTACAGAACGTGGCAAAGCTTAATACAAAGGTATGGTTCAATAGAAATTCTACATTTGTTTGTTGGAACACTTTTTAAAAATATTTGGAACTGAATTCTGTTAATTGTGACTAGCAAGTGTTTGGGGAGGTAAGAAAATAATAAAAAGAATTGTATAGAGCTGACTCAGAAAAATAGACTAAAGCTGAAATCACCTACAGTACTAAACACCCTTGACAGAAATAAGTAGAAAAGCAAGGTGATGAAGATGAAAGTTCCTATTAAAATAAATATGAGGTGGCAGAGCCTCACCATTCTTGTTTGAGGTTGGAAGTTAAACAAGGCTGGGCCTAGCTAATCCTAGAACAGGAGACCCTTAGGAAATTCCAGGGCTTTAGGCTAAACTGGGAAGTTGAAAAACTTCCTGGAAGAAACCACTTCTGTACATAATGTTGCTGACAAAATGGCATAGATATGTCAATGAAGTAACTAGGAGTCAAGCTCGACACAAGGGTATCTTTTTTGTTCAACAGATATTTAAATGCCATTTCTTATTCTACTGTCTGTGGTCTTAAATTTAAATATGAGAGCCAGTTTGGCTCTGGGAAACCAGCCTTAACCTGGTTAAGGCACCAGGTTAGAAACCAAAAGACTGTGAGTTCCACTCCCACCTTAGGCACAAAGCCAACTGGGTGACCTTGGGCAGCCATTCCCTCTTAAACCACTTCCGAAAATCATGCCAAGAAACCTGCAGGGACTAGTCCAGGCATCCGCCAGGAATCAACACTGACTCAAAGGCACAAAAAGTGAGAGGAAAGGTATTTAAAAACAATGTGCATTGTAAAAAGAGCCAATTTAGTGTAGTGGTGTTGGCCTAGAAACCAGGAGACTGGGAGTTCTAGTACCGCCTTAGGCATGAAAACCGGCTGGGTGACTTTGGGCCAGTCACTCTCTCTTAGCCCAACCCACCTTACAGGGTTGTTGTGGGGAAAATAGGAGGAGCACTATGTATGTTTGGCACCTTGAGTTACTTATAAAGTAATAAAGGTGGGATAAAAAATCTAAAAAAATTATCAGTATAGTTTCAAAGAGGTCATGCAATTTAGAAACACTGTAGTGTTATTTATGAGTCCCTTCAGATTATCTAAGCTTATCCTGGTTTAATGGATTAGCATGACATTAAACAACTGGAATCTTGCTCACAACTTTTCAAAATCTGTTATCAACAAAAACAGAGAAGCCTATTTACAAAACAGCTGGTTCCACCCCTTTGGGAGATATTCAAGGAGTGTCCTCTTTGTCCCACTCTCTTTGGGAGATATTCAAGGAGTGTTAACAAGTGAATTCTGTTAACAAGCTGAAAGCTGTCACATCCAGCTTAAAATCTAAAAGGACAATATTCTTATGATATTTATTATTGTTAGTCATGTAGTTAGCCAGGTGTTTAGACTGGATTTGGCAACCTATCAAGTCCTGGATTTGGCAACCTATTGAGTCCTTCCCAAGGACCTGGGATAGGCAGATGTTG